ACACACACACACACACACACACACACAAATAACCACAGACAACACACACCCTTTCCACAAAAAGTTGCCAAACTGGATTCCCTCCCTCTAAGCAGCCTCAAAAAGAAGCAATTAAGTCGTTCTGACATTCAGCCTCTACAGTAGGTCCCACCTACTGTCTCTGTTTGACATGTCAACAGTCATGCAATTTCCACGTCTCACTGAGGCGTCTCACCGGCAGATAATGGGAGGTGAGCAATGAGCGAACACAAACACCTTCCCAGAGCAAATCATTTACAGCAGTCGTTTAGCACTTAAAACACGTTACATTCCTGACCGGCTTGTAACATCAATCTCTCTCTCACGACGCTGCTTTACAGACATGATGATCCAGCTCCACTCACTGAAAGATTAATGTGTACGGGATCGATAGCAGCAGGAAAAATCATTGAACTAACCATTAGAGGCTTTGTTGATTACAAGTTTATTGTGCTGTTAATTGTGTGTAGTTGGAAGAGACGTAAACTGTGAGAGGACTGGAGCTGCAAGCAACTGTCATTTAAATGTTTGATTTATCTGCTGTGTGTATCGTGTGTAATCTACTTACATTACATTATAAAAAATGTCCCAGAATCCTTGTTGTCATACACAAAAGGTCTTGTTTTGTCTAGCAGTTCAGAACTCAAAGATATCCAGTTCATGATATTTTAGTGGTTGGAGACAATTTTCTGGCAATAAAAAAAAAATACTTAATACAATTAATAAATTTTCAAAATTATTGCTGACATCAATTTATCATTTAAGCTTATGTACATGTAGCGAATGCACATCAATAATCAATTGTGGTGATAACGTTCAACCGACATGCTCTCTGGGATGGAGATGGATGCTGGAACAACGATGCTGTGATGCCTGGCCTGAAATTTCTTTCAAGCTATTTTTAGATAACCAAGATAAAATGCATGTTGGCGTGAATAACGCATGAATTCCAGCCAAGGGGAAGATGTGTCGTGCAGTCAGTAACACAGTAACACATCCACTGGCCTACTTAAACTGGCCCCGTCTCTGCTGGCTGACACTGGACACAGGCACGTTACACAGACAGCCTGCAGGGGGGTGGAGCTGCTCTGTCCCACTGGACTACGATAGGCAGGTCAGCCAAACAAAAGCTCAAGTGTAAATACAACTCGTATCTACAGGCAACCAGCGGGAATGAGGCAGCTCTTTTGTGCTTGAATTCTAGACAGGACAACTTTGTTGCCGGCCAAATTCTGCAGCCTCATCACCATTATACATCCATGAACAGGCGTAGAAGCCCACACAGGGGGTTAACTGTGCGGAGTGTGGGCATTTAAATGTTTTGACAAAAGCTAAATGTGCCACTAGGGTTTTCTGTTTATTTACAAACACACAGAGCCAATCATGACAAACTCTTCTGAAACCTCAACCCACTCAATATTGACTTCACTTGGGATTTTAACTCATGGTGGGTATCAAACATTAAAAGTGATGATTATTTAAATGTATACAAAGATGGCTTGGTCAGAATCTGAAGGATGATATTATGACTCACGTTAAGCTTAGATAAGCTGAACAGTTTCTGGCTTCCTGCTACATATCTACTGTACAAACAAGCAGCCTCCATCTTTCATCATCAAATTTTCATAATGGTCTCTCTGCAAAACAACTAATACAAATTACTAATGTATTTCCACAAAAATGTAAGTACTTCTTTACAAAACTGAATAATTAACCTAATCAAGTAAAACACAATCAAAGTTTCCTGGTAAATAGAAAGTGTTATTTGCATTTAGGCAAGAAAATTAGGTGATCTAGTGAATGGGAGCAGACACTATACCCAGATCAGCTGAGTAACAAAGTTTGGTCTTTACCTGGTTGGTGGTGTCTGTGATGGCCATTAGCATCTTCTCCAGAGCCGTTTGGAGTCGGCTGCCGATGCCCATGAGATATTCCTCGTTCTCTAACTGTGTCCGCGCCCCCAGCAGCAGGCTGTCCATCATCTGCTGGGACTCCTCCAGACCCTCATCAGCCTCCGTCTCCCCGGACCACGAAATCACATCATCTGTGGAGGCCTCACTGCCCTGGCAACTGTCAGCAGCGTGGCCTGGAGTGACGGGAGGAACAGAGAGTGGAAATATATCACACACACAAACCTGAGGTTTAAAGAACTCAGATATTTTGTGACCAACTGGTTTATTACATCTGTCTTGGAGCGTTTCAGGGAATAGAGATATTTTTCCTGCTTGCAATAACTAAGGAGGATAAACCAAAGTACATGAGAGTAACACCCAAACAACATTGCAAGAAATACTTAATGTTAAGCTACTTTCAACTATTTAATTTTCCCATTTATATTACCAACAATAACACACTACCTTTACAGAAATACAGCAAGAATGTAATGAGTTCATCTTTAAATCCAAATGCTCTCAAAGCAGAAAACACAGTGCCTTCAGTCATGTTGTCTCCGTCAGAGACTTAAAAATGCTCATCATGAGTAGTTCATATAAACCAGAGAACAAGATACTGCTCACACAGCTGCCTTCAAGCCAGTTTACATGATGTATCATGGCAGCTGGAGGCGGCAGTAGGGTTCACACTTGACACTTTGTTATGCTTCTATTTCTGAGAAAACATTTTCATACTGGAACAATATTGACACCTGGATAGAGCATTGAATCTTTTAAAGCACAGAGGCAGTCAAGTTACTTTCAACAAGCACCAACCAAAAACCTTAGTACAGACACTGATAAGGCCAGTTTCATACTACGTTATATTTCACGTTTAAAAAAAAAGGTTGTTTGTCAATTAATCCACAGCTTGGATTGTGGCAAAGTCTTAGTATCAACAACAGCATTAGGATTTGACTGTTGTCATGAGACTTTGGTGTCTTTTGCTTCCATGGAGTCACCACATTCACTTATAATGAACCATTCACACTTCAGGCTAATCTGATATTCATCCTGACATCGGAATTACAGGACTAACTGTCCTTGCTGCTCTTTTCACAGTTAACGATCACGTTGAATCTGTGAGTCATGACTGTACAAGTGTAAACAGACAGCGGACTATGTGTTAATGTAATTTCAACATAGAAACCAAATAAAAACTCCAGGATTAACTCTTTGGTTATGGAAAGGAATTATGTAGTCATGGTGCGGTTTATCTGACACTTTGAAACTGAAAAAGAAAATCAAAACCCCAATTAATCTAATTTACATCAGATTTGTGCAATTTGGATTGCAAACGTTGTAGTTAAGCAGACTTAATAAAAGCAAACTTATGGTCAGCTCCACTCCACAAAATGTCATTATTACCAGCATCAAATAGGTTATGTTTTCGTCCCCATCCGTTCGTTTGTTTGTTTGTTTGTTTGAGCTTGATCACCCAAAAACTACAGAATAGGTTTCCACAAAACTTAGTGGAGGGATGGGACATGGGCCAAGAATGACCTCATTACATTTTGGCATAAATACAAAGGGGTGGATCCACAATTTCTTCCTCCACTTTCTTTAACATTGCTGTTTTTAACATTATTACCACTTTCCCAGGGAATCATTTGAATAAAAAATCATGTACATTGAATTTAAAGGGACTGATGAGTCTTGGCAGATTTTGGATGTTGGATGATGACTCTGAGGCCTCATGAAGTGCAGCTGCAGTGGCAGAACTGCAGAAGACATTCCAGTACTGAGAGTCTACAGTACATTTTGACAGTATACTCTTACTTCTTTTTTCTAACTACAGAATGACATTTGAACCACAGTCATTCCATCTGTGGCCAGTATAAAGAGACCAGCATCTATATCTACACCATTTCTAAACCTTTGTGATACTTGCCTGCAGCATAAGGCCTGAAGGGCTGTGTGTTGACTTTCTGCCAGGTTGCTCTCTGTGAGGTCGTGTGGGGCGTTGCAGCCTGCTGCTCTTCACTGGAAGCATCACACAGACTTTGCATGTGGAGCCCCATAGTTTCCTCTGCTGCTGCCGTTGTCTTCAGAACATCGACCAGCACCTGACTGAGTTTCTCATTGGCTTTACGCAACAGGTTTCTAAAAGAACAAGAGAAAACAAAGTGTAGTTAATACTTCAATATGTGAAGTGGACATCAAGAAGGAAAAGTCAGTAAAAGCTTGAAATTAAACTTGTGTCAAACCACAAAGGAAAGACTTTGCCAACTTTGGCTTGAATTGGAAATCAGTACTAAAGTCTGTGATTCATGGACAGAATTAAACAAACAAAGAACTTTCGTTGTGCAGAAACTTGATTTGATTATTAGAGCATTAGAGAGCAGTATGAATGCAATATACCTTTCATTGTCCATATCGGAAGACTCTCCATCATTCGTTGAGGATAACTTTAGTGCATAAGACTCCTTTATTCCCGTCCCACCTGGATCTTCCTCTTCCTCAGCTTCTTCCTGATCGTCTTTCCTCTTCTTTAGGGCCTGGACGGGCAGGAGAGAGAACACAGACAGCAGCCCCGTCATTGTAAAATCGCAGCGGGATAAAAACTCTGAGAAGCAGAGGACAGCGTGGCTGAATGTGCCACTATCAGCGAGAGTGAATTCAAATTAGGCACCATACAGCACACGTACGTGCACGCTGCCCTTTCTACGAGCACACAGACACACACAAACAAACACAAAGACGCACTTCTCACTCTCTTGGAGCTGAAAGAAACACTACTATCTTTGTGCTGCTATGGCAACAGGTGCACCTGAGGCAAAGACACGATAGCGCCACCTCCTGGGAGTACAGCATAAACTCAGCTCAACTTCTACAGTCTCACAGACACGACGACTGTGCAAGAGACTTCAGATGAGCGAGATGGACACTGTTCTCAATTAAAGTACTTTTATAGACACATATGAGTAAATGTTTTAAATGACACTTGTATAGTGTTCCTAACAAACAATATTTAATACTGTTTACATAGTGAGGTATTAAAATTTGTTACATGCAAGAGAAGCATTGAATAAGCTGGTTTGTGGTAAAGTAGCACAGAATTGGGTTACAGCTAAAAAAAATTTTTAAGTATGTTTTATTTTAACAGATCTCAAATCTAATGACTATAATATGAAGTCAAAATGTCAGATTACAAAATAACCCAGACAAAAAAAAGAGTTGAGTGTTTCAGACAGTAAATTTGCATATTGGTGCACACAAAAACATGGAACTCTAAACACAAAACCAACATACAATCATCAATCGATGTTCCATCATTTGTTAATTTCAAAAGCTTGTTTTACAAACTTTCATCGTCATAATTTATAATCTTGACCTATTTTATCCATATCTAATGGTCCCAGGGAACATTAAAGGTTTGTTTCCAAAATAAAGGTTTTATGCAGGATATCAATTTACAAAAGATCATTCTGGCTTTTTAAGTAAATTTAAATCAATGAGATAATTGAGGAGAATTTACTAGAGAATAACACGCTGCAAAAAACCTCTCAGCTGGGTGTTATAGACTAAAGACAACATGCCAGAGATGTCTTTTTCATTATTAAAATTAATCTAAGCCACTAATAGAAGCTTAAGAACATTTTTCTCTGAATTATAATCTGAATCAGCACCAAGTGTGTGCAGGAGCAACTCAATTGATAAGGAACACTGAACCTGACAGCCACTGCTACCACACAGTTAAAGCCTAATCATGCAATAAATGGTAAGTGAAAGACGACCAGACCCTGGGATTAGCTCTTCATGAATGAGGTCTATTTTTTGACATCAAACCAATAAACTGCTGTTAATAACCTTGAGGAATTGTTTTCCCCAAATCTGGTTATGGCTATGTATAACTAAAAGAGCTTTTTAAAAGTATCTCAATTTATAGCAAAAATAATCACACACTTTAATGAGAGAGCAGCTATTTGTATCTTGTGGTCCTGTGTTTCTTTTTAGGTGAAAAGTGGGTTAAAAAATATTTAAAATAGCATCTGACACGCAACCCATTGTTAATGTTACTGTTAACTTGAAAACCAAAATATGTTGCTGTTAAAAGTTTGCACAAGGCAAAATAAAACAGCCCCAACCACAATATTAACTATATACAGTATGTTGACACTAAGTCATAGCCAGCAGGTAAAGAGCTCAGGCATACATAATCAATGATACAGTATACATCAGTCTAATTGATGCAATACCTGCATTGTAAGACATTATTGCCACATCAGAAGTGAGTTGTCTCAGATGAAATATGGTGAGGGGTCAAAATAAATAAACAGATTAGAATAACCGCTCACTAACCTGCTCAGGTGCTGTTTCACTTCTCTGCAGCTCCTCCTTTAATTTTCGGATCTCTGCGTTCCTCTCCTCCAGCTCCTTCTCCAGTCTCTCCCTCTCCACCTCCTCCATCCAGGCGCCCGGGGAGAATGAAGCCCTGGGAGTTGGCTGCTTGTCCTCCCTCTCCTTCATCTCCTCCTCATATGACCGTGTCTGCATTGAGGTACTCGTCAGGCAGGAACGCTTGATGCGAGCCAGCTCAGTCTGCTGTGCAAACTCCACTGACATCTGAACTATGGCCTGACAGAAAACATGGATACAAAGATATTTTACAGAACTCTATATTATGTGGGACATGATGTGAATCTGAGAGGGTTAAATTGCGTTTTAAACTTTTCAGAATAACTCTAGGGCTGCAACGACTGGTTTCATTTTCGATTATTCTGCAGATTATTTTGTTAACTAATTCTTTGGTCTTTAAAATGATGACACCTAACATGTGCTGTCAGAACTATTAAGTTAAGTTAAGTATGACAATGACTAATAACAAATACATCTTTTCATATCAATAAAAATAAATACAATCGTCGTCAATACTGTCTACATATGAGAGTAGCAGTAAAATGCCTGGCCACCTACTTTAGCAACTTCTTCCTCCACTCTCTCCCAGTGTTGTTTTTCTTCCAGCACGACCTGCCTGGCCGCCTCAAGGGTCCCACTGGAGCTTCCAGCACAGCTGAAATCCTGCTCCCTCTCTCCTCTCTCTTCCTGACACTCCTCTCTTTGCCTCCCCTGCTCACTTTCTTCTCTCAGTCTCCTCAGCTCACTGTTGTGCTGTTCCTTCAGAGTGGCCACCTCTTGGACATACTTGTGGTAGAGAGCTTTCCTCAGAGCCTGCAGCTGTGCAGTCAGGCCTGCAAACCTGCTAGGCAAACTCAACTCTACACCTCCCTCTGACAACTCTTGTTCAAGCTGGTCCTGTGAAGAGTGAAGACAGCAGAGAAGAGGAGGATAGGAGTAGTTGCAGGGATTAAAATTCAAGTCCTAGATAACAGCACACTGAAGTGTTTTAAAATTATGCTGACTACAAGCCAGTTATAAGAAGTTCTAAAAAACAAAAGTTCCTCAAGACAGTTCCTGAAATAAACAGGTTTTCTTCACTGTTGCTCAAACCAACCCACTAATAAATGCACTTTTTTGTTCTCTCCACCCCCTTAGGGGAGGGGATGACAGGGCGATTAAGAGATGTCTTGCCTTATATTACAGCTACATTTTCCCCCAACACACTACTGCTCTGTCTCGTGATGAATCCCTGTCTTGTTTGTTTCACAGTCATGGAGCTTCTGTGCTAGCACTCGCCTCAAGCTTAACATTTCCAATCCAAATATATAATGTCTTTAAAGTGTCATGCCAAGTTTTTTTTTAGTTTCTGTTCCTCCTGTGCGTCAGTCAATCTTCCACTATCGCTGATCTCTGCGGATGAGGAGGCAGGAGGCCCACGGTTGCGAGTTGTGGACTTCTGACGTTGGAGGGAGTGAGAGTGACAGGCTGGGAAGGGATGGAAGTTGGAGCGATGCGAGAGGGAGATGACTTCAATGGAGAGCGGGTCATTCACGCAAGACAGAATCCTCTTTTCACGCAGCCACTGAGACTACAGTAAGTCCACTTGGTTCACAAGTAGCACGCTAAAGTGGCGGGTTATGTAACGTCTGACCCTTTTAATCGTTAGATATAGGTTTGCTCATGATGTTGGTTCTGAAGCAAAGCTAGGGATTTAGAGCATGTTTTAGCCTAAAGGCTGCAACAACCCCCAACTGTCATAGCATTTTAATGCATGTACACGTTTCGGCTCATGGTGGGATGTGATCCATGTGACGTGAGGGATTTAGATGAGACCAAAATGCAGAAGTCAAACCTTTAGGTCCTCGATGTGCTCGTCTGTCCTCTCAGAGCTGGACTCAGGAACTGTGGACAAGCTGAAAGTCAGAAAGCGAAATTAATTGTTCTGTGAACTAAACATGAGTTTAAAAGTTTACAGATTCAGATTTTTGTATACAATATTACAGGAAAGAATAAATGCAATATCATAAAATTAATTCTTAATTCTTTTGCGTCTATAAGGACCATGAAGCCGTGAACCAGGGACACTGTTATTACCAGAATGCATGTTGGCTCTTATAGCAATATTTCAAAGGAGACTATCACACCTTGGTTTAAGTAAGATTTTAAGTCTGAATATTTTCTGTCATACAAATTTGATGGTTTATACTTTGGGATCAGAGTCCACAACAAAAAAATAAGAACAACTGAAAGATTTTTGATGCGAATTGAAAATAAATTGAAGTGACGGCATATTTGGGCAGCTGGTTTGTTTAATGATTAATTAATTAATATATTATTTTAAAAAAGGAAAAATGCCCTTCTAGTCCAAAGTTGCATTTTCAAATTCCTTGTTTTGTATGAACAATATTTCAACAGCTTCATACATATTACATAATAATACATATATTTGTATATCGTCAGGATTTATGTGAAGTTAATGGGAGTAAATAGAAATCCAGGTTTTACTGTATGTCTGGGAATCTTTTTCTAAAGCATGACTAGCATTAGACAACAATTTTTTAAGATCTAGTCATGAAAACTATAATACTAAGATATTAAGTGTATTTAGAGAATCAAACAGTGGAGGGCAGCAGCATCTAAGTTTTCACAGTAACAGTGGGACTCACCCACAGCAATCTAGATGATAGAATATAAATTATTCTGTGACCATATGTCATCACTAGTATTTCAGAGATATTAATTGTTTATGATTAAGTATTGTTTGCATAAAATTTTTTGCAGTGTGTACTTTTTACACAGGAATAAATAAAAAGCCATTTGTGATAGGTTATGCCACAGACTATATATATTTGTATATGTTACAGTCAGTGGTTTATTTACACCTGACAGTAAATACCTGATGCTTTTGCCATTTCAACCTGAAATTCATTAAAAAAACAATTTGGTTTCATCTTCTGAGCACTTATGTAGAGTGCCTCAAATTCATCTTGTCTCCTACGTATAGCACGTCAGTGCGTCAATGATCACTTCCCTCAGGAAGCCATCTGGAATAGTTGAAAAGGCACTTTTCTAGGTTAGAGGACTAACAAAAGGCCTGAATGACGCTTTACACGAACTGGTGAATATTTCATTAGTCGAGTCTTTGTCGTCAAAGGAACTGGGTCAGATAGCTGCCACATGCTACATAGCATGTGCAGACCAGCAGATGTTAGAAGATAACTTGGGCATCATGTAGCTCAGTATTTTTTTATATGCACTGTATAAAACAATCAACTATTTACATGAGTTCCTCTAATTTAAAGTAAACTGAATGAGAAGAACCAGTGAAAGAGAAGATCAAACCAGATTGTTAAACATACTAAGTTTAATTGATTGGATCACCATTTAATTTCAAACCTTGGTTCAGATCTCCCTGTGTCTGTGGGGGTGTTCTAAGGGGAATCTGGATTCCTCTCACAGTCCAAAGATACACAGCTTAGGTTATCCGATGACTCTAAATTGACTACAGGAGTGTGACTGGTTGTTTGTCTATGTATGTTGGCCCTGCGGTATGCTGGCGACCTTTCTAGGGTGTATCCGCTGTACCAGCTTAGACTGGCTCCACCTCTCTCTGTGACCATCAAAGGATGAACAGTTTAGAAAAGGAATGGATGGACCATTTTCTCTTTCTGAACATCTGTGACACCTGAGATAACAATTCTACATACTGAAGCAAATTCTCTTATTTTGTTATCACATCGTAAAGACATAGATCATTTTGAAAGTCTGGCATTTCAGTTTTTTTATTTGGCACCATTTATGTTTCCTGTGATCAACATTTCATGTAGTTTCTAATCACCATCTGTGTAATTGATGTTTGCTTTAAAATGCATTTACGTCTGTTTAAAAACTTGTGTGAGAACTTATCACGTGTTGTGTTTTCACAGTGTCCTCACCTGTAGTGGGTCTGTGTGCTTGTGGCCTCCTGTAGTTGCTGCTGCAGCAGGAAGAGCTCAGTGGCGAATCGCTCCTCTGCCTCTATGGCCTCATGTTGGTAGTGAGCTCTGAGACGCTCCAGCTCTTGTCTGTGACTCTCCTCCAGCTGGAGCTGCTTCTCCTGAGCCTCCATCTTCAGCTTCTGTAACTCACTGGCTATGGAGGTAGATGGTGCCCCAACCTGCTCCTCTGAACACAATGATAAAGAGGAGAAATGTGAAAGATGCTTAACCGTGTGGTATTTATGTTTAGAATCAATTAAATGAAACTTAAAATGTTCCTTCTTGAAAAAAATGGCCTCTGCAGTGACAAATGACCTTATCTATAAGTAAGAAATTCATGTGTAAATAGAGACGAATCAAAGCAACAATGAACGGTACTGCCACATCTAAAAACAGGTAAGAGAAATGTGCTATTTTCAGGTATGTGTTTTTCAGTATATACACAGGGTGTGGAAAGTTTCAAGATATAACTGTTTTATTGATTTAGAATTTTCATTATACACTTCAACTCTGTTTACCTTTGCTTGAGGAGCCATAGCTGGCAACCTGCACACGTAGGTCACAGATCTCCTTCTCACTGCTGCTCTTCAGTTCATTGAACGCCATCTGCAGTTCTATCATCTGTGACACAAACAGATTGGTTAGCGTGTCTCTGTTGACTCCGTTATCCACCTCTGTTCATTAAACAGACTCAGTCTTCAGATTTTACCTTGTTCCCATCCACCCTCAGCAGAGCCTGGAGCTGTGACAGTCTCTGATGCTCCTGTTCAATCCTCTCCCTCACCTGATGAAGGCCTCTGTATAGCTCTACAATTAGAGACAGAAATGTGTCATATACCGTTTTAGACTCTAGTTTTATTTTAAAATGTACAAGTATGTTGCTGGATTTTGAATATACAGTTGTACACAGATATGCTGTATATATTCAGAAAGCACTGCTGCATTCAAGTTTTGTTCTTTGTGGTACTTTTAAAATTTTTTTTTGAATTCTATGACTAATTTTACCTCTGGCTTCCTGTATAATGGAGGTGGATTCACTAGTTTCAGGTCTTTCCTCTGAAGGGGGCTGCCAGCTCAGATCAACACTTTCCAAAAACTCTTCACCGAACAACTTTCGGAAAGACTGAAAGAGAAATGTTTGCACACTGTGATAACGTAAAGACACAAAACATTTACCTTTATTACAGTCTTTGTATTTATATAATTACCTCCGCCAAGGAGTTCATGTTTTCACCCCTATCTGTTTGTTGGTTGGTTGGTTTGTAAGTAGGATAACACAAAACTACTGAATGGGATTCCATGAAACTTCATGAAAGGTTGGAACGTGGGCGAATAAAGAACACGTTCAAGTTTGGCACAGATCTGGACAAAGGTGCAGAGGAATTTTTTCTTTAACATTGTTAGATTTTCACCAATTTTCCAGGGAATATTGTTTGATATCTGAGTGTGCTTAATTTAGTTGAATATAATTGAAGGGGATTTTTGAGCCTTGGCGTAGGTCTATATTGTGTGACATTCTATATTTTAAATATAATTACCAGAATGATCTCAATGCATTCTTCTGACACAGCTTGTAACATGTTCTGATATTTGAAGAATTTTGGCTCATCTGTGAAAAAAGCAGAAAATTCATGATGATAACAGAGTAGAAAAGAAATGCTCGATATATCAGCGAACCAGAATCCCATTCTGTTTTGATCCATCATGAATGATGCATCAAAGCACCCGAAAGGGACCACTGCTTTGCCAGAAACACAGAGGCACACAAAGGCAACCAACTGCACATCAGCTCACCAAGGTCGCTGTGAACTTTCTGATTCTGCAATTTCAGCTCCAGGGAGTGTGTGTGGGCATCCGTCTCCTCCTGCAGCAGCTCGACCTGGGCGGCATGGATCTGAGACAGGCTGATGCGCTGGGCCTCCATCTGCAGATGGCACTCACCCTTAAGACAAGAAGAAGACATATTCCTCATCAACGTTTCCATGTATATGACAGTGTTTGTCCTAATTTTCCTAAAAATGGTCACAAACGGTAACAAGACTAGAATTAGTGCTAATCAACAATTCAGTTCTTGAGTTATGGTAAAAATGCATTTTGCAAGGACACAGTGGATTTGAACTTTGACCTTTGAGCAAATTCTGATCAGATCATTCTTGACTTTAAGTAAACGTTTGTGCTAAATTTGATGGAACAAAAGAACAACCTCAAGATATTAAGAGCCAGCGTGGAGGAACGAAAGGAAAATGCTACGCAGCTTGGAAGAGTTGTAAAAAGAACAGGATAATATCACTTTAATTAATCACAAATTATATTATGCAGCATGTTTCCGTATTTGCTAATTAGAGGGGCTAAATGATGAAATAACATAATCTTGTTTCTGTCAGAGCAGTGGCCATCTGTTTTCATGAGAAGAGGTCTGCCATTATCACTTCTGGGACAGAGAACAAAAGGCACACAGTGAGCCTTTCTCTAATTATGCATAATGCATTAGCTCCAATTCGTCAGGGCTTCACATTTATGAAATGGCGATTCTTTTACCTTTGATGTCAGACGTTTTTAAAGTGCACTCTGCATCTTAATTAAGCAGCATTCAAAATGCTTTGTACCCATCCACACTATATCTGACGGTGCAGTGAAGAGAGGTCTCTTAAAGCTGCAATCACGTGCATGTTGCTGCTCAAAAAAACATGACGTACAAACAAGTTTACTGAGAAAAATAACTGATACTAAATTAATTAATATAACCTATAAAAACATGAAGGATTGATTTGCCCTTGTGCAGGAACGTCTCTTAAAAAATAGGTTCGTTTTTAAGTGTCACGACACTGTATACAAAGATGGATGAAATGAAAGCTCCCTAAAAGTGAAGCCAAATCATCTCCACCGCCCCCTGGTGGCTGGCTGCAGTATAGGCCATAAACCCAGCAACCTCCAAGTAAGTGGATAGAACTAGAGTCAAAACATACTTCTGATAAAAGTGTCTAAGAAGGTTTCTGTAATTTCAGGGTCATACTGATATTTGTTCGAATGTTTATTTTCTTAATAAGTTTGGTTTTAATTAGTTCTTTGATGCTATGAAGATTCAGAAATCATTATTGACATGACATGTTTTGGCTGGACCTCATTACCAAAGCTCCATCTCCTGAAGCAGGAAAAACACTTTGAAATCATTTTCAATGAGATACATGAACAAATGTACATATGGTAAGTTAAATATGCTGCTCTCCATGCCTACTTACTGAGAAGTTTTTTAGATTTCATGGGAATATTTTGGCAAAGAAATTCATGAACAATTCAGTAGTTGCTAGGAAATCTCTCTCTGACAGCCGCCTTGGGCGCTGTCAAGGATCATCCTGTAATGTCATGGACAAGTTGGCTAATGAAAGATGTTTATAGCCAAACTATTCCCTCTTTATTTCTTTCACAGTACTGCACTGCTCTGGAAATGTTTTGAGGCTAATACGTCTACTGGCACAGCTATATTTTCATCTGCTAATTGACTTCAGTTGATGTGCAGTCACGACACTGTTGTTTTCCAGTTTTAATTTGCATGAACAATTTCGGGGGCGCTAAGTAAATATCATGACGCCTCCTCACTAAGAGGTTGTATTCATCAAACTGAAATAATACAAAACTGCTATATGAGCATCTGTTTATTGAGCATTAGAGTGTTTGATGTTCTATATCAAAGTCAAGGATGGGAAGTAAGCGGTTAGTGCCATTTACATGCTCAGTAGTCTCTTTTCCCTCTGCTCTCTGGCATGCGACAGGCTCCGCGTGATGGCCGTCCATCCCATGTTGGCTCACCTAAATAAGAAAGCAGAAAAAATATTGTAGTTTTTTTTTTTCAAACCTGTTTGAAATATTACCCCAATACAAATGCAGACAAATGGGACATGATGGACAGAAAGACAAGATGTATCATTATGGACCACTTCCTGAGAGGGAGAGTAAGTGTACAGTTTGTTATTAAAGTTGTCCGCCTACATTTCAGAATGAAATAGTTCTGATTATTGTCTGTTTTTTCATTATTCAAATTCAGGTCCACAGTGAAGCCGTTTATTAAACCAATTATTTAAGTTGTGGTCTTGGCAGTACAAAGGTAGAACATCTTATAACAGAATATAAAGACATATTGAATAAAAACTAATTTCCCCACATCACGACTTCTAAACTTGCATTTCAGGTTGGGCTTTTTTGGTCAAGCACACAGAAAATACTCCAACTCAGGAACTGACGAGGATCAATACAGAACACAGATGTGAAATGGCAGACGGACACTGTAAACTATCTTTTGTCTGGTGTAACTGAGACAGAGCTTGAAGTGACACAGACACAGACGTGACTGGGGTAAAATGGCTTCTCACCTCAAACCCTTCACTCCCTGCAGGAGGGAAAGAAACTACAATGTACCCATTTCTACACAATGGCAATGATTCAAAGCTGTCAGAAGACTGTGGGTGATTGTTTTCTGTTCTTTTCAATTTTCAGTCCTTTTCCAAAGCAACATCACATTCTGACTGCAGACTGGCAGCATCAAATGAAAGCACATTATAAATATTGCATGGCCCCCCTTTAAAAGTAGAAATGAGCAGAATAGCGATAAAGTCTTGACACCTCACTGCTTTGTGCAGGTTGAACTATGTGTGCATTTTCTCTTTTACATTACAGTCCCACAAGTGCCCCCTTTGATGCCAATGAATGGTCCTCACACACTTAATAAAAGACAGGGTTATCTAATTGTCTGACTGTGCAGCTCAATGCTGCCGAGTGATAAGCCTTTGCACTCATGACTGTCACTGGGGAGAAAACATCCCTCAGCCATATGTTCCATGTTTAAGCTTTATTTGGCTATGGATGCTGTGCACGCATTTGTGATGAGGCTGATTACAACATGAGACATCACAGGATTAATTGTGAATGACATACACGCCTCTTTCACTGCACATTCTGTAGACACAGTTTTCGAAAAGCCAATCAAACATGTAATTTAATTCTGACTAAAAAAGGTAGAGAAAAGGCAGTGCAGTCATTTTAGAGTGGTGCAGTAGCTGTATGTCAGTGAGCGCCTACCTGTTTGTTGATGTTGCCTCTGCCTCCGTCTCCCTGGTACCCGTCAGTGGAGTCCTCCTTACTGGCCCTCTCCTGTGAACGTGATATAACCTGGCTCTCCATCTGAGGCTGCTTCTCCTGCTCTGCGGCACTTGTAGCTCTCTCTTCCTCCGCTGCTGCCTCCTCTTCCTCCTCCCTTTGCGTTTCTTGTCTGCTGCCAGATGGAGAAGTGACCAGTTTGCGCTCCTGCTTCGACCTCTGCCGTCTCTTGCGCCTGTTTGACCCTGAAGCTGTGGACTTCTGTGGCGAGGATCGTCCTTCAACAGGTCCCTCCCCCAAAGACTGGTCTGCCGCTGCATTAGTCTGCAAAATCTTCTGGAGATCCAGGGTCTGCTTGATGTTGTCTCTCTCAGCCTCAGCTGTCCGCAGCAGAGACTGAAGACCCTTTATCTCCTCTCGCAAAGATTGAATCTCAGAGTGATGATCCTCAAAAGAACTAACTGGCTCAGCAGCTTCCTCTTCTGTCTGCAGCTTAGCTTTACTCTGGGCATCCTGCCCCCTTGCCTGCTCTCTCATAATCTCTTGTTCTTTTTCCAGTTCTTTTTCTAGGCTTTCATTCTGGGCCATGACCTTTGTGTTTTCTTTTCTCACGTTCATCAGCTCGTCCTCCAGCTGTCCCACTTTGCTCTCTGTGAACATGAGTTTCTCTGTAACTTCAGAAACCCTCCTAGCCAGGATTTCCTTCTCACCCAAAGTAACATTCAGTTTCTCCATTAGCTCAGCAGTAACTTTTTTGACCGAAGCTTCACTCTCTGTTTTAGCATCCTCCAATTTGATATCTCTGCTGCTCTCTTCCAGATCCAGAATCTGTGACTGAAGGCTGGCAATTTTCGCCGCTGACTCATGTGTGTCCTTCAGTGTCCTCTCTTCTAACTGCGTCTTTGCCTCAATGAGACACATGTACTCCTCCTTCAGCTCCTGGTAGTTTACCTCAAAATTCTTTTCAGCGAATGAGAAAGTAGTCCTCTGGTTTTCAATTTTCTCTCTGAGCTCATCTACTAGTTGCTGAATTTGATTATTTTCTGTTGTCAGTGTCTCAATTTCCAAAAAGTTTGAGTCCAACTCTTCTTTTAAAGTGTTATTAGATTCTATTAACGTTGTCTTTTCTAATTCCTGCTCTTTCCACTTGTTCTCCCAGGATTGTTCTTTGTCTTGTGTCTTTTTTTCCAGCACTTCTTTCTTTTCTCGTAATGTCTGAATTTCATTTTCCATTCTAGCTCGTTCTTCTCCTCCCTTTCTCAATTCTTCGATCTCCACCTGAAGCTCTTTGAGCTGCTGGACAAGCTCATCTGCTTTGGAGCTGTGCAAAGCCAGCTTTAGATCTTCTTTCAGGCCAACAATTTGGTCCAAAAGCTCATCTCGCTCTGTGGCAAAATTTGTCTTCTCTCTTCGTGACAGATGCAGCTCTTCTTCGTAACTAACACGCAACTCATGCAGCGCTCTCTCGTGTTTAACAGCAGCTTCATTAAGAAGGTTTTCTGTGTTCATGAAGCTCTCCCTCTGCAATTCTTCACGCAGATGGGTAAGCTCTTCCTCATGGCTGAACAGAAGCTGAGTCCTGAGCCGGTCGAGCTCTGCTTCCTGAGACTCGGCCATTCGGTCCAGTACAGCATCTTTCTCCCTCTCTAGCATCTCCAACTTGATCTTGTAGTTGGTTACTTCTGATTCATGTTTAGTTTCTGCATCTTGAGCAGCTTCCTGAGCAGCGGCCAGCTCGCTCCTCAGACCGTCAATTGTCTCCTGGAGGCGCTGCAGTTCACCATGTTGGCTTTCCTGAGAGATAAGACTGTGTGAGACCTGCTCCACTTTTTCGTTAGCAGAACAAAGATCCTGAAGAAGATAATCAACCTTGACCTGCAGGTTGAGCTTTTCTTGGGTGACTTGGTTTAGCTCATGTATGGTTTTATCATGCATTGATTGGGTTTGCTCTACTGTCTCCTGAAGCTCCTTAATCCTAGCATTGAGACTAACCACCTCAGCAGCGCTAACAGTTGAGCTTTGAGACAGTTGTGCTTTAAGAAGCTCGAGCTCAGAACTATGGAGCTCAGTCATTTGCTCCACTTTCGCTGCATGTTGTAGATTAAGCTCCTGCTTCATTTGGACAATTTGCTGGCCATACATCTCGTCCAGCTCTGCCCTGAGAACTTCGAGCTTCTTTCCAGTCTCTTCCTGCATTTTTTGGATGGTGTCACTTTCCGACAGGCTGCCCTGGTGACAGCGTTTCTGCAGGTCCTCCACTGTGCCCATGAGCTGCTTGATTTCATTAGAAGACATTCGCTCTTTCTGTCTGGAGTTTGAAAGTTCACCCTTACAACTTTCCAACTCTGCTCGCTCATTCTCCAGTTCTAATTTACAACTCTCCATTTCACCCATACGGCTTTCCAAGTCAGACTTGGTGCTCTCCAACTCATCCAGACATTTTTCAAGCTCTGATTCTTTTGCGGCCATTCGCTGCTGGATATCACTCAGGCGTTTTTCAGAGGTCTCAAGCTCATCCTCGAGCTGTGTGAGAGAGCAGTCACGTTCTGAAATGACTCTCTCTTGCTCTGCTATGATCAAGTCTTTCTCGTCTGATTGCTGTATAATATTTTCATTTGAAGTCCTTGCCACGTGAGCCAGTTCCTCTCTGAGCAGGGTTAATGACCTCTCATGCTCCGTGATTATTGCAGTTTGCTCTGAAATGAACAGACTTTTCTCTTCCAGTGTTTGTGCAAAAGACTCCTCTGCCACTCTCAAGTCCATCACCAGCTGCTCCTGACCCGCAAGGACTTTTTCTTGTTCAGCAATCAGCAGGTCCTTTTTGATTATCCTCTGTGTAAATGACTCTTCTGATCTTCGTCCTGACTGCAAAGAAAACAAAGGGTGAAATTGAGAACATAATGTGCAACCACTCAAATTTTACAGAATAAAATATAAAATATATCTGATAACCTAAACACTAAGTAACTTCTCACCATCTCCATCTCATTGAGTTTGTGTTGGAGCTGGCTGATGTGCTCTAGCTGTTCAATGCTCCTCTCCTGGTGTTTTCTGGACTCCACGTTCATTTCCTCCAGCTGCTGCTGGTACTGGACAAGCTGCTGCCTGGTCTGCAGAAGATCAGCTGCAGTGCTGCTGTGGCTGGTGTTCCTTAGTGTCTCTCCCGCCTGCAGCTGTTATAAAGGAAAATAAAATAACTTTCTGTTTAAAATATGTACAAACTCCTCACACACACATTAATTTCTAATTGGAGAGATGGATAAAAAACAGAAGACCAAAGCTATAATTCTATAAAAATTATAGAATAGAGGAATTTTAAACTTCATATATTATATTCAAGACTAATATGCATTCCCACCTGCTGGAACTGAATTTGTAATTTTTGACTTTGCTCTGTCAGCTCCAGGAATTCTTTCATGATCTCGTCTTTCTCTTCACGGGCCTGCTGAAGGTTTGCTGTGAGCTGTGTGATGATGCCATCTCGCTGCTTCAGAGCAGCTTCAAAATCCTGCAGCTGTAAAAGTAATATTGCATAAGTAAAATGACCTTACATAGAGATTAAGGCTGACATTATACAGCAGCAATAAACAGATATTTAGTAGTTTAGTATCCAAAATAAAATATCTTATTAAAATCTCTACCTGCTGCACTCCTTCTGTACCAAAGGCAGCTCTGATTTCCTCCTGACTCAGCTCCTCCACTGCCTGGGTCTTGGCAGCAAGTGCGTCCTGCATTGTACCCCCCTTTGTCACCTGTGGCAGGGACTCAACCTCCTCCTAAACAGCAAAATAACAGTAAGAGGTAGCGGCACATTTACATAGCTTTGTTAGAGGACACAAGATGAGGTCTCAGGAATGAGCTGAGCTCAAAGTCACCAGCCCAGAGAAACAGCAGTTAGTTTCAAGAGTCAGGGCCACATGAAGGAATGCATAGTAAAAATGTTAATGTTTCCAAAAGAAAGGACTTCACAGCTGCTAGTCAAGATAATCTGCAAAAAACAACAACCCAAAGCAGTTTAGTAAAGTCTGTCAAAGTTCGTTCTAATCAGGTATTTAAAGGTTAAATTAAAGTCAGCTGAAAATTCTTAATAAAAAAAAACAAGTGAATTTGTGAGTCTAGCAAAGTTAATACTATTCTTGGAAAAAACATTTTTAGTGCTTTAAAAATCTATTTCTTCGTCTTGAATTTGAATTGCTGAGGAAATGTATGTCTACAAATGATATTTCAATGTTTATACTTTCTCGATTTAGATTTTATTGGACTCAAAACTCTCTCTTAAATTTCACCTTCTTTATCCTTCGTTGCAGAGAGGGGACAGAAACACTCCCATATCACTGTTATCTCACTTTATCTTTAAAAGATGCAGAGCTTTAGAATGCTGATCAAAGCAGGAATAATTAAGAGGTTTCATCCCACATTAAAAAAATCTTAACTTCATTTGAAAAATTAATGAATATGGTAAGATTGTTAGCACTTATATATTTCAAACACTAATTGTACAGATAAGTCCTGATTGGGTTCATATACTAATATTCCTCCCCAACACCAGTCATCCTGCACTCAGTATGTGACTTTGACCATTTTCAGATTTGCAACCTCCATGGTTTTTGTCTCCTTTGTTTGAATATCACAATAGTGAATCTAAAGGCAGCTGGTCTTTACGTAACAACTCCTGTCTTCTCTCCTTCAAAGACTTCAATGTGTTATTCCTTCTTTTCCACCATTCAGTGTAAACTCAACTCCTGTTACATTTCTTCTTTGAAAATATAATTCATATAGATTTTTTTTCTTTACCCACGTCATAGTTCTCAGAGTATGTGGATATATGCTCAGGTTAAGTACAGCATAAAAGCAGGCAAGGTTAGTGGGTTACAAGAAATCTTGCAGAAGACTTAAATGTTAAAAAAACAGAGTCAATACAGCAGCCAGAGGGTTTGCTAGCAAAGCAGAGCCAGAGGAACTGCCTGATCAGATTACTGTACCCAGATAAAATCCTTCGCAGACATCATTAGATTCATCATCTCATCATGGCATCCATTAACCTGTTAATTCACAAGGTGGTCAGTGAAACACAAAAAGCCTTTGTGTTTTAGAAATGATCCTTCTGTAGATTTGTACCAAATCTGATCTTTTATATGATTTAATTTCCTTTAAAATATTATGAAATGTTGGTCCCAATCAGAGATAAATATTTAATGAATTTCCAATAATACTGCTTTTGTCCCATTTAATACAGACTGACTGTCTCATGGTCAGAGCAGTTGTACGGGGGCCAGCGGGGGCACTCTTTAAAAACATGAAAATTATTTATGAACCATAGACACATTATCATATCATCAACTGTCAATCTGTTGGACTGAGTAGATACAGCTGATGAGATAAACCATGATACTGACTCACTACAGTGATATGCCTCCTTCCACTCGTATGACAATAAATCACATAACAAACTACCACACTAAAAGTCATATGCAGTCATAAGTCATATTTTATGATTTACCATAAAATTAAACAAATAAAAGTTCATCTTAAAAGGTGATAATATATATTTTGAGAGAGGTCATCTCACCTCTGAGGAATAATCTTCAGCAGTAGTGGACACTTCACTCTCAGGCTGCAACAAAAAAACAATAAAGTCATTCATCAATGAATCACATTTATCACAAAGAAAACCGCTAAATCTTTAAATTTCAGGGTCGTCTATTGCCAATATTAAAAGATGTCCCAATTTTTTTCAGAAGTTTTCTTAATCTACACTAGAATTCAATATAATATAAAATCCACATACTAACATATTCAGTCATAACAATCAGTAACAATGCTTTTCTTGTGTCCTACTTCAGATGCTCCTTTCTCCCTCCCACACAGAAATGATGGCCAATATTGAAATCTACTTTTGATTTAATTCGTACGTCATAAAATAAAAATATGTGGGGCCAGCACAGGATAAACATTTACAAGTTTTGTTTTAACTAATAGCAGAACTTGGACGTCACCTCAAACTGTGGGTGGCAGCATGCACAAAGTAGATAATTGGTTGATAACATGTGACATGTCAAGGGATGAGATTCGAAAGCTGGATCCAATTTGGACCCAGTTACCAGTCGGCTGGTAGTAGCTGGTGATGTTCACTCATCTGTAGCTGGTAACTAAATTTGCTTAATACTTTTAAAAAGTGTTTTTCAAATTATTCTCATGTAATTTAACATAGGAAGTACAGTTTGTGTGCATGAATTAATGCTTCTTCCCTCCCAACCAACCAGAGTTAATGAGACATCTTAATGTCATGGCTATTTTAGCCTTAAGTAACTTGTTGACAGGTAAAATCCATTAACATTCAATTAGGCATCTAAAAGGATTCAGATTCGATAAGTGGATTAGATACTGGATCTAAATTTAATAAAATGCTAAAGACCATAGAAAATCTTTGATAAGAGAGTTTCATGCAAAGTTTACTTCCAAGCGCTGAAGTTGATGATGCATCAATGAGTCAACACTTGTATATGCAATTATAATCCCTTACAGATGCTGCCAAAGAACTGTGGTGACATTATGAAACCTTTCGGTTTCCTCTTTGTTTCCACAGCAACCACTTTAAATCTCAAAGAAAGCAGAATCGTCACAAAAATCCCTGAAGAGATCCGAGCACCGTGACACTTTTTTCTGGGACAAGAAGGAAAATGTGTGAGAGCAAATGAAGCATTTACGTCCAAGTGGTTATCTGCATATATAATTCAAACACATGGTCTTGCTCTGTCTCTTTAGATTCATGTCTTAAGCTTTTTGGAAGAGTTGTGTGACTCAGTCCAAAGACAAAAAACAAGAGAATGAAAAAAACACTTCATAGATTCAATCAGCACTTAAGGTCTGCAGAAAAGTGTTGCAAGGCCACAGGAATTGGGCACACAGACTGACGCCTCGCTACCTGTTTAAAGGCAACTGTCTGTTTCCATGACGACGGCCAGTTCTGTGGGCATGTACTTTATCAGACGTACAGTGGGTTCAAGGAGAGAGAGGCTGTACGGTGCTGATGAAAAGACTAACAGGGCTCGAATGATGGAGAAAAAACATGCAAGGGCCCTTAGCCCTGAGTTTTAGATGGCTGATTTATTAGAGGATGATGTAACTGCTGGAATATTTATTTATCAGCCTTTGCTCCAAATTCATCTATTGGAATTCATTGCAGATCTGAAGGTCATGTATGTTTGCAAAGCTTACAGACCAATGTCAACTAGCATTTCAAAGCATTTTATGAAGGAAAAAAAATATATAAATTTGACTGACCATGATTAAAGTCACAAGAATCAAGGCTTAGAGGGGTTGCGGTTATATTTGTGAAATGAATTCACAGAATGCAACAACATTAAAAATGTTATCCTCCCTGTGTTAAGTTTCAAAGATCATGAAGATATCGGTCAGTGATGAATGAAACAATTAAGATGAAAGTTCAACAAAATCCCCCAAACAACCAACTTTAAAAAGTTGAGTTTTAAGGATTTTTTTTTTTTTTTTAAATACTTTTGTTTAGTGTTATTGGGTCAAAGCGATCTGTATAAAGAGCCAAACATTTGCACGCAATGCTCATAAATAGTTTACCTCTCGTGTGTTCAAACTGAATATTGGCTGATGTAAGGTAATTTGATTTTTTTTTTACACTGTCAAATATAAACATTGTCAGCCTTAAAAATCCAGTTCCAGCCTCTGCTCTGGGAAATCTCTCACACTGGCAACAAGATGCAGGCTTTGAAAAGAAATCTAAAAATGCATTGAAGGTATTTTAAAAAGGCAAATTTCAGCCTTGAGGTACAACATAAGACAACGACTCTTTGAAATATCCTTCATTATTTGTGTGGTTTCACAAATGTATCACCCCCTGTATCTACTGTGTATGTTCAAACAAGTTAAGGATTTAAATCAAAGATTGTCGGTTCAATTCTTCTCATCAAATTCAACGTGGCAAACCCCAGGAATGATTCCTGAATGTGTCACTTTACTAGACTACAACTTCATCTGTCATGAGTTGTGGTGCTACAGATGCCTAATTTGCACAGTTTGTCCAGGGGAAATAAATAGACGTGTTCAGAATGTGTCAATATTTCCCACAATCCTTTATGGCTGTGATAAAGTTAAAGAAGGAAGTCTACCTCTATAGTGTAGGTCTGATCATGCTTGACTCTCTCTCCGCTTCGTAGCGTCCTTGCGAAGGTAAACTCTGTGGTGGGGGGGTCTTTAGTTCCCTCTTGTGCTCCATCTCGTCCTCCAACTGAGATGTCCTCTACTTCTGTAGACTGATCGGGGTCCACCCTTCCCTGCGAATCACCCTCTGAATCCTCCGTTGTCCTCTTTTTCTTCTTCCTCTTCTGATTCCTCTGGGAGTCGGCGTGAGCTTTTCTCTGGCGGTACTCTGCCAGCTGGAGAGAAAAGAGGGAATCAGACTATTAAATATATAGAAATTACATTTTTCAAAGGTCATCCTCGGAAAAAAAAAATGCATTAGAAAACATTTAAGCAACGATCATTTCAAAAATTAGTCTTGTCTTAACTCCCAGTCGTTGCCTCCGTTGAGATGTTTGTTTACGTGACCCTGATCTTCAGACGTAAGGGAAATAACCACCTGCTTTAGTCAAACTCATAAGCCATTAGTCTGCCTACATAATTAATGCTTATAATAAATTAAATATATACAAATATCAACCTACGCTGAGTCTGCACAGTTTGGAGAAACTCGACTGAAACATCTTGTCGCCCAAAAAGGTGTCTTCCCAGCTCCAAGTGAATCCTCCCTCCCTGTGTCCATATGACACAACACATGCCTCTTGCTGTGCCAGTGCTAATCCCGAGTAAAGGGATTACATTTTCAAACTATGTCGACGATCTGTCCAAACAGCCAATAACATGTTTTTGTGGTCTTTGATTCTTCGAAGCATTAAATAAAACCGTTAAAGACAGACACCTCTTGTTTTCTGTCAAGGATTTCCACAAATTTATGAGGCTACATCTCCACTTGATCTCATTGAAAAGTGCTTGTGTGTAATGAGGTTTTGTATTTGGGATTAGAGCTCATTCAAATCTTTCATTTTCTCTAAACAGAATCTCTATTGCAGTTACTATTATTATTACTACTATTCACCCTAACTGAAACTGGTATTTTGAGTAAATATGAGAAAAATATGTTTTTGCTTAAAATTATGTCTTGATGTAATTATGTAAGTAAGTATTGTATCTGAGTGCTGCATTGTAATGTTTGACTTTAATAATGTATTTTAACTAGAAATATTAGTCTATACAGCTAACTCTCACAGTATTGTGTCTGTTAATTCATGAGCACTGTCTCTAAATAAATAACTACTTAAATATCGATTCATTATTAATTTATTTTTATTTTATTCATCATATATGTGGAAGTGAAGTAATTGAATACTGTCTCTATTTTCCTTGACTTAACACATTTAATTAAAAAGGTTTGTTTAAGGTAACGTGTGCTACTCTAATAATCTAATTCACAACTCGCTCTCCTTCTTTCTCTCCGAGCAGTTGGTCCTACAAATGCTCATTATGTATGATTGACAGATGACGGAAAACAGCTGAGCGGGGCAGACAGCAGGGGCTACAGGTGTCACACCACAGGTGCTGCATGGATCCCCATGGATATAGATAGGTTGGTTGCCAGGATACCATGCCAATACTTGCTTACCTGTCTGGAATGACACTGACTGTATGCTCCATAACAATCCTAAACTTGAGCTGAAATGGTTCATCAATTAATCAAAAGATGTGTGTGTATATAGTATAGAATGTGTAACTTAATTTTGAAAGCCTGTTTTATTTGACATTGCAACCCCATACCCACATTTCAAAAAATGACCCAAAAAGATTTTGGATTGAGTAAAAAAAAATGTGCCGATTCTTTTTTTCTTTTTGGTTGATCGACTTATCATTTACCTACTGCAGCGCTACGTGTCTCTCACTTGCAGCACAGATTTTATCCACTTACTGTAGCAGGCGAACCCCAATCCTGCAGGAGCTAAAGTAGGCACTTTTTTACTGGTCTGACGATGCTGCACAAAAGGTTAGAGGTGGACACGACAGAGCTGAGAGTGGGCGTCGTGATCACGTCTCCCACCTACAACACACGGCTAAAAAGCTCAAAGGACTCTTGATCTGTGTCTCTGCACATCCACACACACTCCACCCCTCATCCAAATATACCCACCTATCTGTATTTTCACAAGAGCTTTATCCATCACATACCAGGGCACACGGCGAGAGATATGAATGAATGTCAGGCTTACAGAACAAGGCTGTCCATTTCTGACTGAATGTTAGTAACACACAAGCCCCAGTGTGCGATATGGAGAGCACATGCCAGCCAAGATCATGCCAAAAAAACACTGACTTTGAGGGAAGCCTTGCCTTTCATTGAGCTGCTTATCATAGCGAGCTGCCTTATTTTGGCTGCACAGACCAGAGCATCAGCTCGGCATATGGCGTAATGGAGCCTGTTTGGCTGTATCACCATCTGGGAAACGGAGACTACGTAGGTGAATCACCATCTGCTGTCTGAAAACATTTACACATATTTTTTTTCACAGGCTGTTTGTCCCTTTAAATGTAATAGTAGCAGATTAACAATCAGGTGTGATTACAATCATGTGTTAATGGGGCATCAAAAATCAGTGTTGTGACCGTAAGAATGAACACTGTATATATCTAAATTGATGATGAAGAAAATTATGTAGTAGTTTGAGGATATAGGAACACAAATACAGAGTAATATATTACAATGTATAACACCCTGGAGTATGATCTACCTAAAAAATAGTTCATACAGTAGTAGCTATCTCTGAATTGTGTCTGGTTACATCACACCATTGTGTATGATGTTGGGATCAATAAGAAGGATTGAGCAATGACAATAATGGATTTTTATATGATTTATAATCTTCATATTTTACTACTTCCCATGTGCCAATGACCCACCAACACGAGGGTCGAAATCCTCTGCTTTACACACACATGCCGGTTAAAACACAGCATCTAAAGCTACCACGGCACCACCTGGTTCATCACCAGTACAGCAGGGAGATACTGTAAATCTGAGTCAAGAGGCAAACAGGCAGTGCAATGACCACAACACATGCATGTCTTAAAGAAAAGGGTTGAAACCTGCACCAAAGTCTGTTTACACTTCTAATTGTGTTTGAGTAGCAGGTAGAGTCAATCTTGTGGGTTATGCTGCAACAGCAACAATACTCAACAGGAGCATTTTGCCAGTAAACAGTGTATTAAACAAATTGAAGGTTCCGTGTACATAATACAGAGGTAATGCAACACAAGTACTGAAGATAAGATCCTTCTTAGAAATTAAAATCACTGTAAGCTTCCCCCAATAACATCTTAAGTAGCAGACAGACAAATCACCCTCATTTCTCTCTGAAACATATATTCGCCACAATCAAACATGCCCTTGCCTTTCCATGAAATCCGAGCCACAATCAATGTCAAGTATCCTTATAACCTCTGCAGAGAGTTATCGAAGTGCTTGTGCACCATCATCATACTAATGACTGCAACCACAGTCTCCCTCCCGAGGGGGCTGTGCAGTGAGCTACATGTAAATGTCCTTAGAAAAAGCTACTTCTTTGGGGAAAAACAGCATCAGACACATATTCCCTGTTAGAAGAACAAAAACAGAAACTTTCTTTTGTCTTTTCATGTGCAACACCACAGCATCGACATAAAATCATCCAGATTCCAGGCTCAGTAACTTCAACTGTATGATAGATTGTGTCTAGCTGAAGTTCATGTGACATGTGGAGGCAACATCCTGGGTTTGAATGTAGCCTATAGGAGGATTTTTGCAGATCCTCACCTTGTTTTATACCCACATTTAATGTGCAGAGTTTTTCTGGTTTCCATATACACCAATATGTAGCATTATTTCTTTTTATAACAGAATATATTTCCAGCCATAACAAACTGCAGTTGTTCTGGGTGACCTGACTTCACACTTTCAAAACCCAGGCAGCCTCTTGCGTGGTATGATTTCTGTGTGCAGCCTCAGATTACACATATACTCTCCTGCCTCTGTAACTCTCTGCAAGTTGCTGACTGTTGACAATATTGTGTCAAGCAAAAACAAAGTCTTTGTGCATTTCAAAGTAAGAGCTCAATTACCATAAAAGTTCTCAGGTCTGCACAGAAAGTTAGTTCATCATACAGGCTGGAGCTAATTAAACCTGGGCAGCTGTTAGACCATCACATTCAATTAATCAAATGGAAATCCCTTCTTAAGCAGGACAACATGCTAAAATAAGACTTTCAACATGTATCCAGTGTTTTGTTGCTGCATTACAGATGATAAATACTGAAGCAAAACAGTAAAACTCTGCAGTGTCAATTCAACCAATTAATAAGCCATGGTGGTAATAATCTATTCATCACACAGAGCGATGCAGGGTATGTTCATGCTTAGTCACCTGAAGGATTAACTATTCAGGCCTTCACTAAGTAGATCAACTTGTACCTCTGCTGACCTCAGAACCTCCAACTCTGACGGACAGTGAACCTGACCTTTTGGCTGTGTGGAAACAAACAGAAAATCTTCTATTAAAATGAGCTGTGCTATGCATGGTCCAGAAAATGCTTTCTCAGGATTATCTTGAATATATACGATTAAATAATGTACATTTATTTAAGACTTTTAAGGTTAAAAATACATTTTTCAAAAATCCTGTATTAAAGTAGAAGGGAACTTAGAGACCACTTATCTTTAAAAGTTAATGGGTTCTTGGCTAATACCAAGTTAGTATGTAATTTTAGCTTAATCCTGCTAACAAACAGACAAACAGCAATGAAGGTATAATCTCCTTGGTGGAGGCAATTATTCAATTAAATTTTTTGCCGAAGGGTAGCAAATTCTGCATAGATACAAACTAAACACATAAATGCATAATCATAATGACAGATGCTGGTAAATGTACAATGATATTTTTAGTTTGTGCCACGTGGACACATCAGAGAAGCAGGGAAACAAATAATTGTGACGTCTGCAGCCCTTCAGCCAAATGAACAAACACTGCGGTGCCCTCCCTCTTCAACCATCAGTATAATTCTATAAGTGCTGGAACAACAAATAGGCTGGCACACATTATTCCCTGATGTCACATTAAACATCTGTGCTGCTCAAAATAGTGACAGTGACGGGCTAATGGACTGAAAGTGTAAAAATAAAAAATTGAAATGTACCTTTCTATTGTTTAATGGAGAGATTTGGACCCTTTGGCCTTTGTTGACTCATGACACCCATTCAAATCTCTCCTGCATGTTTTAGTTTATGAAATTGAACTGCACTGGAATACACAGATAATGTTGGCCTGTTAGTGGCACTAAAAAGTGACTTTACACTTAGATACCTTGAAGCATCTGTAAAGTCTGAGCTTAAACAGCATGGGACTGGTGAAAATACAAGTCATATCTTCCCTCCTGGTGAGCGTGAAAGGTACCATGAGCCTGTGAGTTCCTTCTGACCTGACACTCAATCTTACACCATCATGAGCTCATCACAGCAGTGATGGGTGCTTTTCAAGTCTCAGAGGATGGAACACAAGGACAAATCTATCATGTAACTGAAGCCAAAGTCTTCCACATTGTCAATATGATCTTTTTTTTCCTTAGAGCAAAGTAAAAACAATGTGTCTGCAGCTAATGTCTTAGAACAATAGCTTAGGAAAACCAGACCACAATCAGCATTCTGCTCATCGTCTGGGATGACTCAATACTCGGGACAAATGTCATTTCAAGCAAGACATACAAAGGAAGACGGACATTTTTAGACTTAGACATGGACGCTTCAACAAACATCCACCCCATGTCTTGCTTCTGCTTTTCAACTGGAAAATGACAACAGGAGCAGTTCTGAAAAAATGTCATATTACTTCTGAACTAACACCAAAATCAATTTCTGTAGACGTTTTTAGAGAAAGTATGTCATGCCATTATCCAAATGGTCCCCAAAGGTTGCTGAGTGACTACAGTATATATCAGCTTGGCTTCAACCTAAGCTTTTGGGGGGATAGTAGAATAAACAATGAATCTCCTGGATCTTCCTGTGAACATTTATCAATGTGTTTCTCTGCTGCATGTGAGCACATGGCGACGGGTACTATAGAGACAACAGGTGTGAGATCCTCCTGCAGAACAGAGGGGCCTTTTGTAAACCAAAAATGCCTGAGCCATAACCAGGGAGATGGTCTTTCTTAAGGTCTCCCCCCACTGTGCAAACCTAAACCACTGCGAAACCAAGAGTGACCAAACGACAAACAGCATAACAGATGTTTCTCTGCAGGGTCAGGGTGGAAAGTGGTTTGATTGCAGCGCTTTATCAAGTCAATATTCTCAACTCTTATTATAATGTTTAGAAATGCATGAGGTCTATAATAGGCTGATATACATATTTTGCAGAGTATTTTAGCAGAGATCCTGCAGGGCCATGCAACACCTCACACAAGCTGCAAGAAAAGCACAGCTCAGGTCAGAGCGATGTCATCATTTATCATCCAAAGTGCTTCAAATGTTTTATTGTGCTTTATTAAAAGTTGTTCTGATGTTTTGTGTAATCTGTTAGTTTGGTAAACTGTTTGGAGATGCCTTACCAAGTATCGAGGCAGATAACTAATAGTCCAAGGATCATTGTGGGTGATGGGAGGAATCCCCTCCTCTCCTCATTTAAACTGCTCTCCTCCAATAATACATCAACAGATGTGTGTTATGTTTTTATAGGGAGGGGGTTATGTGTTTCTTTTCTTGTTATGTGTTGTGCTGTGATTGTCTAGTCATGGGCACACTGAGGCAAATTCCTAAAAACTGACTTTTGTGGCAATAAGTACTGAATCTTGAATATGTTATATATTTATTTCAGTGTCTTTCATTCATCACATCAGACGTTTAATTCAACACACAACTTATTTCCTTCTTTCTCTATAGCAACATTGTTTTGAATGGGTTGCTGAATAGCTGCATTAGTGGGGAGGGGGAGGTAGGAGGTGTGTGTGTGTGTGTGTGTGTGTGTGTGTGTGTGTGTGTGNGTGTGTGTGTGTGTGTGTGTGTGTGTGTGTGTGTGTATATGTGTTGGGGGGGTTACCCTGACCTTATTCTTGATAAGTCAATGGTAGCACACCCGTCTGACATGTGGGGCAGTGCACGTTCTGCCCAGAGGGGGTATGTCCTGCATATCCTGTTCCACCAGCCTGTCAGCTTCACTTCCTCCGGCGTTTGATAACAACGTGGATAACAAAGTGTGTGATTCCAGGTTGCATCGTGCACACGCTCCCTACACGTCACACTAACACTAACCAGTGAAGTCAAAGCTGCGGCACACACGCAGCTTGACAAAGGAGGCTGTGGCTAGCTGCAGCGAGCCGACCCCCGGCTGCCTGCCCGGCTGTCTGGCTGTCAGAGCGGGGCGCGTGTTCGCTGACAGCTGAGACAGGGGGGTCGTTCGGGGTGTAGAAGGGGGAGGGGGCGCACACTAACAGCTGACACACAGAGGACACAAGTAGAAACCGAGGTTCAGGGACTTGTTCCCCAGCAGAGGGACAGAGTTAAGCTAACTCACTGACAGTCCTACCTTAGCTTTGCCGGCCTCCAGCTTCTTCTGCCGCTCCTCGTCCTCCATCACCGCGGGGCCTGTGGCAGAAACGGGGAGAGGAGCTGCGTCATGCGAAACACCAGCGACCAAGAGCCGAAGTTGAGAGTGTCCCCGGCCGCTCGCTGCCGGAGACTGGGTGACTCTTGTTCACTAAGTGCTGTCTCCTTGTTGGTACTCCGCCGCCATGTTTTCCACGTAAACATGAGACACAACTGTGGTGACGTCGTGTAGGTGCCTCCATGGCCACGCCCACTGACATTCCACCAGTGGTGCCTTCATGAGCCGTAAGAAATGTCGGAATTAATCTCGCTCGGCCATTTACGTTCAAGTGGTTTTTTTTGTAAACACAGCCCATAGTACTGATAACGAAGTCCAGGTGGATCCACATGGACACACAGCAAAGACAAGAGCTCACCAAAGTTAGAAAATAACTTTTGGATTAGTATAAATATGGAAATATTAAGCACTTTGCAATAAATCCAGACATTATACTGACACTGAGCCCACATTTGTGAACAGTGCCCTGTTTGTTTAATACAAAGACAGTATTTAAAACCAGTATAAAACATAAAGTTAAAGGTATAATGTAATATATCATAACATAACATAACATAACATTACATGAGAGATACAGATATAAAATAATATATCATGCATGTCACTTCACGTCATGTTACATCATATCATATCATGCATAGTTATATATATTTCGTGAATTGAACATTCGACTATTTTGTGGAAACAAGTATATTTAAAATGTTGACATGTTCACTCCGCAGTTCTACAGTTTTGATTTGAGTTAGAAGTAAGTACTGAGCAGTAGCGGAAGATCAGATACTTTGCTTCGTACCACAAATAGCCTTCCTTAAATAAATGTACTGAAGTATCATCAGCTAAATGTGTCCTTAAAGTGTTAAAGCTCCATGAACTATATATATACTCAATCCCTTTGTAATAAATTATATTATTGATGCTGCAGGCAACCATGTGTAATCAGTATTTTACTGTTGTGGCTACTTTAGGTGCTGAGAAGTTGTTACACTCCTTCATATTGTCAGTTTAGCTCAGGGCTCCTCAGACACAAGGCTAGACTCCTCCAAAGGGTCACAAGACAAATCTGATGGGTCATGTGATGATAAATGGGAGGAGGAAACAAAACAAAACAAAACTGATGCACAAATGTGTGTTCATGATGACACTTCTCAATTAGTAAGAAAAGATACCTAAATATTGGATAATCTCAATAAATGTTGTTAAGAATTATTCATACCAGTATCAACATATGTGAATGTAACACTTTTATATTATGTCTTGAATTGAATCGTGAGGAAGTCTGAATTCTGCTTAAAACCGCTGCACAGTTTCTATGGTAACCAGAGGAAAGGTTTCCAGAGTTGTTGAGACCACAAAGCATTTTCATTTTAAAATCTGTGTTTTTCTCTAATGAAAGCATCGGGCAACACTTATGTCTTGAGCTAATCTGTGTGTCATCTGTGTTTCACACTTTGGTGAAATTGAGTTCCTGAAGGAGGAAACATTTGAGCTACTTTGGATGCAGGGGACAGCAGGTAACATGAGAGACTGCAGGCATCAGTTTCTAGGACAGATGGAGGTGATAAAAGAAAAGCACAGCTGATATTTTACTCATAGATTCCACATGGAATTTTAGTCTAGAATGAATTCACATACAATTAAAACAATATGTGATGATGCATTATCATGTTGTTGTAAACTGAGGGCTTGTGTTGTTTCTGCTCAGCAGACATTTCCAGCAAACAGTTTAAAAATTAGAGCTGAAAAACTAGACTGATACTCAGACGGAAGTTTCATCTTCACATCATTTATTCATTCTTTATGAATTATAATAGATGTGGGCAGTGATTCAGAGAGGAGACAGCTGGTGGCAGGATTTTAGAAAGGCCAATTTTGAGTTTTACATTTTAAAGTTACTATTTATTTGCTTTAATTGTTTGTTTTGTCCACAGGAAAAATAGCATAAAACAAGGAGATCATCTGTTTATCATACTTAATTTATATAGAGTCCAAATTCCCTCTGCAGATGTTTTATTACAAAGAAAGTTTGAAACATCTTCCAGTTATTTTAATGTTTGCACATTTTCTTTCCCCTTGTAACCATGCAAACGTTGCCAAGAATCTAGAAAGTTATAAATTCCATTTGAGAGCAAACTCATGCAATGTGTCTGTATTTATAATTGAAGGTTAATTCTTTAAAGCTAATCAATCTTGCATTCATGATGTGCACGAATGATGTAT